ACTTCATTCTACTTTCTATCACTTTTGTTTTTAAGTATCCTTTTATATATATATATATATATATATATATATATATATATATATATATATATATATATATATATATATAATCTGATATACCCCAAGAAAGGTAGTAAAGCTATTAAAACACAAGAGGTTACTGGGCGTGGAAGAATTAAAAAGCAAAAACATTACTAAGAAGCAAGAGCAATAGAGGAGTAATAAGGAAGACAGTAGATAGTGATTGACATTGCATTTAAATTTTTGAAAATTAAAGTTAACTGGAAAGCACAGAATCAGAAGAGAATTCCACAAACAAGAAGTGCGAGAAAAGAAACTGTTAACATAGAGCTTACGGTTATATCTTAACCAATTCAACTGCGAATTGATGACAGAAGTAGTTTCTTAGGAAAGGAAATATGTGGTAGGATCCTGGATTTAAGTTTATGATAAACTATTCTGAAATCAGTACACATTTACCCACTAGTCTTATATATAGGTTTGTATATCATATCTTCCAATCATGAAAAAAACATTATTTTAAGTATTACAACAGTAATAAAATATACTAGAAAAACAAAAGCCACAAACCAAAGACATACATTGAACAAAGAATGAAATCAAATAAACAAATCATGTCAATAGTAACTGATATGGTAATGTATTTTAGAGAAGAAAAATTATTTCTTTCAGACAAATGCACATATCAATACACAAGACTACTTGCAGACTTATTTTAATTACATCAATAAGGTTTTAATATTTTTAGGAAACACAGCCTTTGATTAATGTAATCTATAGTGAAATTATACCTTCAACTATACATGTCATTTTTAAATAATAGATTTTTTTAATGTGATATTATTTCTTATGTTATATTTAATCAGTACATGGGTTTGAATAGACATGTTTTTTTGTTTGTTTTTTTAAATAACCGTGTTAATGTCTAACAGCTGGGAAATTGAAAGTTTGATTAAAGAAAAAGTGACTCCTAGCAGGAATCAGACATGTTTACTCAAACATATGTACCCGTGTGTGTGTGTGTGTGTGTGTGTGTGTGTGTGTGTGTGTGTGTGTATGTATATATATATATATATATATATATACACTGCTTTAAATACCATCAAGTTATAAGTCTATCAGAATCAATGTTAAAGCCTTGGTGAATAATCAACTTGCTTTCCCAAAGATTGACTATGTGTGGATAGCGTTTCAAATTGAGGAAATGGAGAGCAGAGTTCCAATTGAGTTTGTTACATTCATTTACTTGCAAATACCTTTGGGAAAGGCATGAAACCATCTCTTTCCCTCCCAGCTATGGGTAAATAGTAGTACATATTTGGCCCTATAGCCTTTGGTGGTAACCAGTATAGAAGGACAACTCTGAATTCAAAACCTAAGAAGAGACATTTGGGAACCTTGTGGCTCACTGTGTATTAGTTCTGTTTATTCAGCTCTTCCAGAAAGTGTGGTGGGTTCTACACAAACCTTCACCACTAAAATCAAATCATAAGTGTGAGTAGTCTGACTGTTTGGTTCTAAGAATTGAGTTGCTGTAACCCCATATGTAAAAAGTGCCAGGAGAATACAATATATATATATCTAAAACTGGAAATACAAAAAGAAAAAAAAGACAGCTGGAATCAAAATCAGTTTGATTATATGAACACAAGAATTGACTTAAAATAATTAAGACAAGAGTTACTGCTTGTATCATTACTAAAACTATAATATTGGAATATCAGATCAAATCTTCAAGTGCAACATCGAGACATGTACATCAATTTGTCTTTACTACAAGTTCATAAGTGGTATCAAGCAATCTAGAATAAAAATCATGCTAATTTAGAAAATTAGCATCCCATACAACACATGCAATGCTCATTACAACAATTTAATCTCTCCAACAAGAGAAAAATATTCACTGTTTCATATGTAAAAGCTATAAAAAGTCTGTTATAAGACTATAATCAATGCCAAGGTTTTTCAAGCAAATATTCTGTATAATGTCTTTAGAATTATAGGCATACAGAATTACAGATTGTTCTGATTTTTAATGAACAACTGTCAAATTTAAAGACACAATTTTAAAAAAGGAAAATATTAAATATAACATGAACAATACAAATGTATATTATTGAAGCCATATCAAAAGGTAATAGACATTAAGGATAACAAAGGCTTCTGGTGAGTGATAATGATGATATTATTACTATTACTAATACTACTGATTGTTATTATTATTATTAATGAGGATGATGATAAGGCACTAAGGATGAGAATCAAACTGAACTATTTGGCTTCTGTCTATCCATATTCATATATGAACCTTCAAAACAAGTATGGTTGATGGCAAAATGGTGCCAGTGGTCAGAAAAAGAAACAAATAGGAAAGATTATTTTCTTAAAAAAAAATAAAATAAAAAAATAAACTCTTTTTTTTTATACAACAAACAAAAATAGCTACATCAACTTAAATACATGTTTGCCCTAAATTTAGCATTTATTCAGTACTCTCAAGATTAATTGGGCACAATGATTAAATAGCTCCTCCTACTCTCTCTCTGGAAAATAATTAGCAACCGGAATCAAATAATTTTTCTTCAAAGCATTTTTTTTTTTTTTTTTCTTACAACATTTGATCAAATTTGAAGGATTTTTGCCTGGCCCACTAAATCAACCACAGTAAAGAATTTGCATTTTTTGTTGATTGTGTCAGTTATTATACTGTTATACCTGTAATAAAATAAGGAACCTTGATTAAATAATATAACATTAACTTGTTTTTTCTTTAAACCTCCTGACCAAGTCAACATTCTGGATGGAGTGGTCAGAGGTTGCAATTTATTATAGTATATCTGATATCATGGCTCTCCTACGTGACACTGCATAGCTGTCTGGCCCACTCCCCACAAAAGGTTGCTGACCCCTGTACTAGAGTTAGGCATAGCTGGTCATATATTTAGGAAAAGAGTGGTCATTAACTGCTGTGAAATGAAATCAAAACAACAAACAGAACATTAGAGAATAAGATGACTGAAAGAATCGGTACACATGTTGAGCACCAACAGCTTCCTCAGAGGACCTAAAATAGAGATGAAGACCATCAGAGAGCTTCAAATATTCAATAAAAATTCCACCACCTGAGTCAGGTTACTCATACAGTCCCACCACATTAGGTTTAAATCTTCAGATAACCCAAGAGACACATGGCCTTATGAATTAAAGCATTGGTCAAAACATATCATGTTCCCTAGTCCAAGCTGGTCATGCTGAAAAGTTATACGCTTTGGTCCAGTGGATGAAATAGACAAGCAGCCCAAAGGTGAATAATGATATGAGTTATCTTCCATGAGCATAAAAAGCAGAACAAGAACAACATATACCCTTGTCGATTGAAATTTGAAATATCAAGAAGTTTACTAAGTACAAAAATAGAACACCTGAAGAAGGCTACAATGGCTGAAATATGAGTAGAACTACCAAGATTAACAAGTTGGTCTGAATAGCAAAGTATATAATACTGATTTTTAATTTTGTTAAATATGAGGTGTCAGCATAATGTTATTTGTATACCAGACATGACAATGTATCAAGGCAATCCTTAACCCAGACCTGTATAGCATATTTAGCTCTTCAAAGACTGGGGGGCCAACAGGTAACACATGGAAATTTGTTGCTGGAATTGGATTAAGAAATTGTTTTTAAAATTTTTTTACTTTTTATCTTTGGATTAACTTAGGTTTATTATTCAAGATACTGAAGTATGTTTATTTATTTTATTTGAAATTAAAATATTTTATCTTTAAACAATTTTTTGGTGCAAAATTTACAAGTGTCATTAAGAATTTTAATACAAAGTTAATATAAATTTAATATTTTTCTGTATGCTATTGTTCTTCAACGATAATGATATTAAGTATAAAATTAATTTTTTATGAATAATTTTTTTTTCTTTAACAGAACAAACAGGTATAATTTATTTTAAAAAGTATATCGAATTTTTCTGCCATTCATAAATAAATAGAAAACATTAAAAAAAGGATCACCTTGCAATGTATATAGATTAGAAAATATATACTAACTAAACTATAATTTCATGAGGTAATAAAATTGATATGTAAACAACACATGTAATAGGAAAATTATTTTTCAAATTCTTAAACATTTGAAAATTATATGGAACCTTTTAAATAAAGTTTTGGTAAGGGCTTGGTAGGATTGTATTGATGTAGTCAATTTTTAGATTCCACTAGTCAATCATTGCAGACATCAGTTTTCAATAATTAGTGTTTTTAGACAATGCTTTCAAAGAGGCTTAGTTTGATCATTTACAAAGTGTTCCATCATGATAATTCATAGTCATATAGCAAATATTACAACTGAAAAGTTTGACAATCTTGTCCAGAGAGGAAAATTCCAGTCTCCTTATTCACTAGATTTTATATGCCATTAGGTTATCACCAATTCCAGAGTTTAGACAACCATTTTGATTGACTAGTTCTTAAAGTAAATGAAAAGGTGGAAACTAGATATTCTTTTCTTCTTAAACAAGACACTTAAAGCAAAGGTGTCAATAATGGAATCTCCATTAATAAATCCTGAGATGAATTCTTTATATTTTTTTCATGACTTTAAATTCAGACATTATTTCAGGATCTCACTGTTAAAAAAAAAAAAAAAACTCCCTACAGATAAATATTGAACGAGCTATGCCCACCTCCATGAATCAAGTATAAAGAGAAATGTGCATAACCACCAAAACCTATGCAGGTTATTTAAAGGCAGAAAATACTTTTAAATTGTAATAACTTTGGAGGGAGATAATGATTTAGTAATACAAGTCTTACTAATTAACTCATAGTTGGGGAAAGAAGAGGTGGATTCATACCTTTTCCAAGGGTATTTGTGCATAAGTGAATATAACAAACACAACTGAAATTGGAACTCTGCTCTCCAATTAACAATTCTAAGTCATTATCCATTACACTACACCCAAGCTTACAGCACCTGGTATTCCCAAGCAGTTACCCATCTAGGTAACCAGGCTCGATATTGCTTAACTTCAGTGATCATACAGGAACCAATGTTTCAACATAAGTGCCTAAGACACTTGTATGTGTGTGTGTATATATATTTATGATGGCTGTAGGGGTTATCAATGCCTGTGCTGAGATTATAATTGTCCATGGCTTACATAATACACAATCAACAAATGCTAAAAATTCTAGAAACAAGCAGATATTCAGATTAGCACTAAAGTGTATGTTATATCAGTTTTCCTTCTCCTAGACAGATACCCCTTATCAAAGGCCTAGGGTACATCTCTCTCTCTTTCTCACACACAGACAAATGAGTCTCAAATTTTTTCTTTTTTCAGTCTCAAAGAAATGATACTTCATTCTGAAGCATCTGTGGCCATCACAAATGCTTATGCATATTGTGTGTAATAAATGTGAATTTGTATATAAATACATTAAAACCTCTTTTTATATTTTAATAAGCGTAAAAGTAAGAGAAGTAATCAGTCAATAAATAAAGAAATAATTTCCTTGCATATTCAAGAATAAAGGAAAATTATTTTTTTTGCTAATTATATAAAAAGCAAATTAATTTGCGTGCTTAGGTCAGGGACCATTAAAATCACTTAGAGAATTTGGCCAATTTGTGGCTTTTGATGCTGCAATTTTTCATTTGTATTTAGCAATTAACAAAAAACTTGTATTTAAGAAGCAAGCAAGAAAAAGTTGTTGAAATGAAAGAATTTATTGTGGTTGTTAATAAAGGCAAAGCAGACAGATGTGGTTTTCAATTGCAGCCTATTTTATGTCAAAGTGGAGATTAAGAAATCAATCTCTGTAGATGGAAGCAGAAGTCAAGTGTGTATGATGTCTTAGAATGAAAAGTTTTCTGCAGCTATACTGATCTTTCATATGAGAGAATGGGGTACACATGAGGAAGAAAGAAAATGACTGAAGAAAGGTTAAAAGCAAGCAAATAGTATAAAGAAGCATTTTATTTTTATCACCCTCTGGTGACACAGATTAAAAACTATTTTCTTCAAATGTTTTTAGATGTTATTTTAATACACACATACTATTACACATATACAAAAATAATTTATGAGTGTACATATGTTTGTGAGGGAGGCATGGTGGAATAATGGATAGTGGCTCGGATTGAGGAATCAGAGAGCCGAGTTCAAATTCCACTCAAATCCTTTACATTCACTTACATGCTAATACCTTTGGGAAAGGTATGAATCCTCTTCTCCCCTCAGCTATGGGAAAATAGCAGAACAGACTGGGTTCTATAGCCTTGGATGGCAACTGGTCTACAGCAGAAAGAAATGGCAACCTACTGTGGGTAAAAATTCTGCTTTGTCAGTCATGTATCAAAAGATACATGATCACCTAATCGTGTATCACATAACTGACTGACATATGTTTGTATATAAATATATCCATATTCTTATGTTCATGGCTAAATGAAGAAAACAGCATTTATTTTAATCAACAAATATTTTCTAACCTAATCTATTTTCTTGTCAATGCATTTAATTTTAATACAGCTACAACATTATACAGTGAAAATTTCAGATCAAAATTCTGTTAAGTTGGTGCTCCTTAAGCCTTATGGTTATACATTTATATATTGCCATATTGTGTTGTTCTACAACACATGATCAGTAATCAAGTTCTGCCTGTTTCTTTCTTTATTCTATTTCTCTTCTGCTTAACATACACAGTTAGGTACAATCCTATTTACAAATCCACTATAAATATGTTATTCTTAATGGGTACATGTGTTGTCATTTCTGTTATTTTGAAAGTGAAAGTAAGGTTAACTGGTCTAAAGATCAAGAAGTCCTGCAAAAGAACTCTTGGGAGGCACATTTTTTTTTTTTTAGGACTTCCAGATCTATATAGACCTACTAACTGTTAGATTTTTCTTTAGTAAGTCTATGTGGATCTAGACGTCCTTCTAAAAAAAAAAAGTGACTCCCAATAATTCTTTAGCAGGACTTTACTAAACTGGTTGACATTAATTTCACTCAAAATACCAGGAATGTCAACCCAAACATGTGGACCCTGTAAAAATAACATTTATAGTAATAAATGATGTTGGAGTAAAAAAAAAAAAAAAAATCAATAAATTGATTACTTAAAAATGACTTTATGCATACTTGTTTATGTGCATAGACATCTCTGTATAAAGACACGGATGTGTATGGACTCTTTTACTGTAGAGAGAGAAAGCTTGTACGCATATGCAGATTATTAGAAATCATTAAATTTGGGGAAAGAAAATAATAAATTACCGTATATGCTCAAGAATAGGTTGCATTTTATTTCACCAAAATTTTGATAAAACATCAGGGGTGTGACCTATCCACTGAACATCATAGAGAACCTGAAGTAGATTGTGGCATATCAATAGTCCAGGTAAGTACCCTGGACTTGAGCAAGAGAGAAAATGAATTTTTCCTGACATTTTTGTTTTTATGCAATTGCCTTTTCCAACAGTAACACCTCACACATCAAATAAAAGCATTCATTCTGAATTGTTCATATTTACCATTATTTGATTTATGATGAAAGATTATCATTTTCAAGTGATTTTGGGACTGAAGCAATTACCCATTTTTGTCTGTACTTGCCCTGCAAGTACAACCAATCATTTTTCTTATGTATTAACACATGTAAGCAAAGTTTTGAAATAAAGGTGAATATTTGAAAATATTTAACAAATATTAATTATAGTTACATTAAAAAAGGGCCATGTAACTCCCTAGATTATGGTGCAACTTATCGGCATGTCAAATGCAAAAACCTATTTTGACAACCCCAAACTAAGGGTATAACCTATATGTGAGTATATACAGTACTTGTTAGGCAAATGTGACAGACTAATAACAAAGAAATTGTGTTAAAAAAATAACTTTTTGTGTATTGTCAATGGAATAAAAAGAACAATAAAAATAATCTCAGCTTCACTTGCCAAGTGTTGTTCATTACCATGAGGTAATATAATACTTATCTTTATAATAAAAACACAATGAAACCAATAAAATTAGACTAACCCACCTACTTTCATCCTCCATATATCATTGTTTTCCTAGAAGTTACAAGATAATTTATAGAAAATTAAAAGAAAAAAAAAAAAAAAACGGCTATCATACAAAGAAACCCTCCCTGGAGTAATCATACCTTAAAAGACAATTAAAAAAACACACACATTCACAGTGCTTTAAAAGGACATAATTCAGAGATGCATTCTTACTAAAATATAAAGTTCATCTCCCAAAAGACATCCACATAACATGTACAAGTTCATATATAGACTGGGGTCTTTAAGTTAATAGGATTTGGTCAAAGTTACATGAATGGAATCATATTAACCAAAGTATAGTACCAAGCAAAGGAAGGATTTTTACAAAATGATTCCTAAAAATCAATTCTCTGATTAGTCTCTCAAAACCAAAACTCAAACATGATCAGAAAGGGAAAAAAATAATGAATATTATTTCTTTAAAGATGACCAATTGGCTTGTCATGAAATGTATAATCAATCACTGACAGATATTTTTACGATTATAATCCTTAATTCATGTTCTTAAATGTTCAAACTCCAACAAGAGACAAAAATTTTGCAATTCTTCATTTCTGCCAAAACCAAAGAAGACAAATCAGATTTCTAGTTGTAATTTAAGAAAATTTGAAAAATACAAAACCTAATAAATAAAACTAATTTATTTATTTTTTTTTTCAGTTTTAAAATCAAACATTATTTATGTCAGTATATCGCTGTAGGGAAGTGCAAAAGGTGTAAAGGCTATGGGTGCAGAAAGTGAAAAGTTCAATTTCAGGTCAATTCCATTCACTTCACAGTAATGCCTTTGGGAAATGGATGGATCTATCTTCTCAAGCTATGAGTTAATAGCATGGCAGACTTGTTGCCACCTCAAGGCAAATGAAGAGAAACACCAGCTTGAAGCCTACCTTGCCCTAGACACACCATTGTTTCTATGACTGCAGTACATATAGTGCCCCTATGACCTAATGGGGTCATGAGACTTATAACATGCAATGATGATAGAGCAAATAGTTTGCACAAGCATGAAGGACTATATATATATATATATATATATATATATATATATGAAAGAGATGGGGAGAGAGAATGCAAGGGATAAATTGTTATCTAAATGATGCAAAAATGAAAATAACATTGACATCTCATTTTAACATATATTTACCAAAATTACACAAAAATATCTTGAAATACTAAGAGTAAATTTATTCAGTAAAATCACCATTGGCTTCAACTAATACCCTCAAGTGACTTCAGAATATCCTGCAATGCTTCTGGATAGTTTTCTTGTTTAGGATGGTGAACACTGATATAATCCTTGCCATCAATTCATCTTTGGTTTTACAAGGATTTTTGTTGGTCTATGACCCAACTATGCCCCACACATAATAATCAAAGGAGTTGCAGACTGGGGAGTTAGGTAGCCAGATATAAGGAGTGATGTGGTCACAGAAATTGTCTTACAGCCATGACTGGGTTCACCTGCTTGTGTGGCATGGTGCCGAGTCCTGTTGCTAAGTATAGGATCTTCCAACAACAACTCTTTTGACCCAGGGCAGCACTACCTCCTCAAGGCGTAGGCCTCTGTGTTGAGTCTAAGGCCCTATGGGAAGATGAATTGAGGCATAAACACCTTTGTAATCACCATTAGACTCATCCAAACACCTTTGTAATCACCATTAGACTCATCCAAACACCTTTGTAATCACCATTAGACTCATCCAAACACCTTTGTAATCACCATTAGACTCATCCAAACACCTTTGTAATCAATTAGACTCATCCAAACACTTTGTAATCACCATTAGACTCATCCAAACACCTTTGTAATCACCATTAGACTCATCCAAACACCTTTGTAATCACCATTAGACTCATCCAAACACCTTTGTAATCACCATTAGACTCATCCAAACACCTTTGTAATCACCATTAGACTCATCCAAACACCTTTGTAATCACCATTAGACTCATCCAAACACCTTTTGTAATCCTCATCCAA